TATATGTTTGAAAATAAATTTTAAAGAACGTGTACAAAAGAAGGATTAATGTCATTTTCCCATATAGACTCGTCTTATGAAAAGTTGTCCTAATAGAAAAGAAAGGTATATGAACTATGTACAAGTGAATCCTCCCAGTCCACCGCATCTATCGAAATATCACGTAAATCAATTGATCGTCCTAAAAATGAATAAGCTTTACCAAAAATGCAACAAAGGCAATGCCAAATAATTTTCAATCATGCTTGGTGTATACTTAAAAGTTTACCACATCGCCAATTAAAAATAAAATAAAGAAAAGCAGCTTTCCCGCCTACACATTTTTTGAAAACAAAAGGAACGTCAAGAATGATGTAAAGGAGTAACGTCCAAGTGGCAAGATCCAATAATTTTACAACCAACTTAAAATTCTTGACTCCTTGAGTCATTCGTCATACTAATTTCACGTAGTGGATTCACATAAGTGACTGTTGACAAAGTAAGGCCACGTTTGGTTCATATTATTTTTTTCATTCTCACTCTTCTACTCATTTTCAACCACACATTCGTCAATAAAATAATATTTTACATCACATCAATAACTTTTCCTTCTTTTTCAACCATATATTCCTATCACATCAATAATAAAAATGCATTCTTATCTTCAAAATGTGCACCAAACGGAGGCTAAATACGAAGTCCCTTTTGGAGCACCATTTTTCCCAAAACTTATTTTCCTACACATTATCCCATAAAATAATTTATATGTAAATCAAAAACTTTACTTTATTTTTAACCACGCGTTACCCCCAAAAAAAATATTGGTCTCAAACAGAGGATAAATAGCACAATGACTGAACGCTCAAGTGAACAGGTCAATTCTTGAGTTTCTTTACACGTTTACTCACTGTGTCTTGTTCATTGTCCACACATTTTAAGACCACCAATGCACATATGTTAACGGAATGACAACAAATTTTATATAGACAACATAAAAGGGTAAGCCCCCGTTTGGCCACCCATTATTTCCCCATTATATTATAATTTATTTTTCTCACTTTTTATCAACCAAACATTCTCCAATAAAATAATATTACACGTAAATTCAAAAGTTTTTCCTTTTTTTTTTTCATTTGTAATCACACATTCTCGGAAAAAAATTACAGTTTCTCTCATTATAATGTAAAATAATGGAGGCCAAACGGGCGCTAAATCTACTATAAATGCAGAAGTTACAACAACATTATCATTTAAGTGGAGAACCTCTGAAGCAAAAACCAGGGATTTTCTGCCCCCTAAATCCAGTCTTAACACAAAAGGTAGGGTAGATTAGGCCAGACGTCCACAACCTTTGGACGACTGGGTGTCTTAACGTTTGGAAAATAGGCAATATTCTTTCCAATAGATGGATTCTATCCATTTTTCTGTTAATCAACATAGTTGACCTGTGTATTCAACATTAAAAATGACAAAATTGTCATTTTATGATTCTTCATTAAGAACTCAGACCCACAGCAACTGAAATAACAAGGATTCATCTAAACAACTTTCAAGTCACATAATGATGGCAACTATATAAATATGTAAATATATAACTTTCAGCAGGAAGTTCTCTACACAAGAATTCTATCAAACACATTATGCGTTGGGGGTATGTGGCTCAAACATTTAAGAAACTACCATTTTCCTTTAATTCACAATTTAAGCACAAGAAGAAAACAATCAAAAAGCTAAACCACGAGGACTGAAACTTGCTCTAACTCCCATTGGACATAAAACAGTTTTAATTACAATCCTTCGACAAATGACAGGTTAAAAAACAATTACACGAACCAAATATCAATAACGACGAGGAAATAGAAGAGGAATACCTGAGTCCTGTGAAATAGAGAAAACATCAGCAGCTTCCAACGGCCAGTTATGGATATAATGCAATACAATAAATGGTAGGACTCAGCCGTGTCACAAGATCGAACTCACAAGCCTTTTAGTCTTCAGTCCTTGACAACTTAGCTAATTTTGGGAAGAGCTTAAAACAAAATGTTTGTTTCATAGCAAACTGTCACTGCTAACACAGCCCATCACATTCTATTTCTAGCTTATCTAAATCCTCAGAAGCTGTACAACCTTTATATATAACCCATTCAAAACATACGGAACTGATTCAATACCCACTAATATAACTTCTGAGAAAACCCAAAACAACTACAAAACTTAACCATATTGGCAATCTCCAAATAAGACTTGAAACATCCAGAACCTGAGAATTGCTTGGACAATAAAAATAAATAATTTATTCATGAAATTCATTGTCAAACATATATAGCCTTGTTTGAGTCCATTTTATCAAAAATTCAATTTTTTCAAAACTCATTTTCAACCACACATTCTCTGATAAAATAATTTTACACGTACCGAATTTTTTTTCTTTTTTAACCACACATTCACCACAAACCACCATTCTAAAACATAATTTTTTTTCCCCAAAATGGGGCTCAAACAAGGGCATAGTATCAACTACATATAGTCACAAAAACTGCAGGTCTATTTGAATAAATATTTTAACATTATACTTGTGGAATGCATAAAGTTGTGTACATTCAGTATATTAAGTGAAAAATTAAGCCGCCTATGACTTTCAGGTCCCTTTGATATGATATTAGTCAAGCGCTAGCGCCCCTATAGAGTCCGTATTTCTGCTATCAATGAAACCGAAAGAAAGACAAAAAAACCAAGCCTATGACTTTCAGGTCCCTTTGATATGATATTAGTCAAGCGCTAACGCCCCTATAGGGTCAAATTTCATCCAATGTAAAATTGGTGTGTGTGTGTGAAGAATTAAGTTAAAAATCATAAATTCACAAGTTGCTTCAATTCTCGATCCTCAACGATCAAATATATCGTTTATTCACTCATAAGATATGCACCCCCAATTCAAACAAAATATAGAAATAGTCAGGTTTAAACTAGTGATGGCGATTTAAGATTTAGCAAAAGCGATTTTCACACAATATTCATTTGTAATAGTTATAATGGATTCAAAACCAGGGCTTCAAATAGTTGTATCTCAGGTATTGTTCATGATGGACATACCATAGCCAAAAATGGAAAACATGTATCTACATACACTTTACATACAAAATTGAAATGCACCTCCAAAGTGTTGGTCCTTTCATTTGATATGCAAGATTTCAATTATGGAAACGGGCTAAACTTGCAAAATTGATGGGGATTCATCCATTCACCATTAACACAGTCATTAAAAATACCAGATTATAAAAAAGAAATAAATTTATTAAAGAGAAGCATGCATGCGCCTTAACTTCACTTCTCCACACCTATCACCCCGCCAACCAACCAACACATTTGTCTCCTCCTTCTTCTCACTGCACACCAACCCTCCTCCCAAAATTGCACACCCCTCATTCCAGCCCCTCTACAAAACAGCCAAACAATCCCACCAGACACAACTACAAAAATTACTCCGCTTGAACCAGCTACTAAACCGCACCTTGTGTCCCCTCCCTCATTTTTACTTTTCTTTTTTTCATTTTTTTTTTTCATTCCCTCCATTATACCACTAAAAACTCCCCATTACTCCATCACAAGCAGCCACCTAGTTTTTCGTGGTGCCTCTACAACATAGCCCCCAACCCTTCAACCTAATTAAGAAGTTCCAATTATATTAAATATTCATGTGTTGCAAGGCTCATTTCTCAGCATTATAAAACTTTATATAAAAAGCACGAGTACTAGTAAACTTATTGTGTACTATCCAAACTTTGATACACTTGGATACTTTTTAATAGGTAACGGATACGTGTTTTTTAATAATTTTTTATATTTCATATTTTTTTAATTTCCAATACTATCGGACACTTTAGGACACGTGAAGAAGAAGAGTTTTATTGGTTTTGAACTCTTTTAAAACTAATTATTTTATTATCAATAATTTATTGAAAACAAATAGTATTTAATTAATTAACAATCTCAAAAAAGTAAATGTATTTTAAGATAATAGATAACTACACAATTTACGCTTATTATTGAAAATAAATATAGTATTAATAATTGAAATTTACACTTCTTTTCATTGATATGTTTCTGCTTTAATGATTTTTAATGATTATGAAATTATGCAGAATTTTATATTTAATATATGGAAAAATATTACACACAATTATATATGCACACACCATATCCAGGAATCCTAAGTTTTGATAAAAAGCTGTATCGACGTACCCATATCGTGTCGTATTCGAATTACGTATATGACCCTGTGCTTCTTAGAACTCCATATTCCACCGTTGCATTTAGTATAGCATTCAGTGAAGGAAAGATGAAGAGAGCTTTCTCGTGTAACTCTTTCACAGATGGAAAGGAAAAAGGCCAGGGCAGAGTCCAAATGTATCAGACACCAATACATCCAAACATCTGTCAGCACCAGGTAATGTCCTTTTTTGGCCATACAGCCAACATGGTGCCGACACTTTTAGAGTAGGCACAGTGAAACCATAAAAATAAGCAAAGAAAATCTTTACATCAAAAGAAATTATGAAAGCCTAACCTAGATCCAGCAATCTAGTCGTGACTCGTGAATATCTCCTATGTCAGTGATGTCACAAAAAGGAAATGATGAAATCTAAAGGGGGAAATAGCAGAGATATGTGGGCAAGAGGGAGATGGGAGAAATGGAAAAGGGGGAGATAAGGAAGTGAAGAGTGTGGGAAGAATATAGGGGCGAGGGAGTCGAGGAAACTGAAGACTCTTAGAAGGAAAAGGGAGAGAAAAATAAGGATTCTTGAAAGGCCAAAACTATGTTTAAGATGCAATGAGTACTGAAAAATAAAAAACTAATTAATTGTTTATATTTTCAATCAATCCATCACTCACATTTCTATGTCCTGCTTTTGGAAAAAAACGAGTCTATACATCCGTGTCGCTTGAATTTTTCATGTCCATGTCTAAACAGGAAAAACCAGAGAAGGCCTGAATTCACATGCTTACCACTCATCTTCATGCTATCCAATCTTGTTATTTTTTTCCTGGAGGGCATTCAAATGCTCTTTACTCTGCCCACCTGCAACTTCTCTAGAAGTATAAGGATAAAAAATGTAGACCAAGAATGATTCAAACTCATTGCTCATTTCTCTACCCTGCAAAAAAAAGGAGGGGATTGGATCTCTCTTCCAATCCTTACTTCATTCCTAATGAGAAACTAGAACTACAAATTCTATATGAACTTAGAAGTTTTAAAACTACATAAGTTTCCAACCACATTGCATGTATATAAAGACAAAACAGTATGTGCAGTCTAATAATAACCCCCTTGTCAGGAAGAACATTATCTTTCTAATATAACTTTGAAGACATTTATTCTCCAACCTTCCAAATTAAAATGAAATGAAGATGCGTTTTCTATTGCTTTATTTCAAGTGTTACTATTTTAGTTCTGTTTTTCATTTAAAATTATTTTAGAAGTTCTGAAGTTCCCAATTCAATTTATAGACACCCTTTGATCAATTACCATTCATATGGTTGTCCAAAAATTTTAAAGCTCTTCTTCCAATACAGCTCTTTCTCAAGCTTACTCATGAACCATTGGGTAGTTTTCCTTCCTTTCCCGAATCTACCCTTTAATTGAAGAGCATACCGAGATCAAGTACAACGCACACAACTTCTAGATTGATACAAGAACATAACCAAGGATTCATTATTGTTAAGTTCGATATGGTATGTCTTCAACAAAAGGTTATCAAATACTAGCCTTGAAATTATCACCTTGTAAGACCATAAATCCATGTTCTCATTAGAGTTATAAATAGATAAAAAGTCATGGGGAAAAAGATAATTTTATTCTCTTGATAAGACCACTAAAAGATTAAAAATGTATTATTATCCTTTATTTATCTACAACAAAATTAAACATACCAAGTAAATTTGCAAAAAAATTGAAAAGAAATTATTGCCATTGTCGGGCATTAATAGAAGTGCAACTCAAACAGTTGTTTACTTTATTGTACTTTAGTTTTCTTTTGGGATTGGTGGCTTCTCCCCTTCTGCCCTTGCATTTCTTTCTTGTTAGTAATAAGTTTCCATTTTCAATTAAAAGAAAAGAATGCAGAGCAAAAATTCATGGAAAATACATCATGAGATAGGAATTTAGATTAGATACAAAAGAAAATAAATTGAGAGCTTGTTTGGTAAAGATTAAAATTGAAAAACTAAACGTTATTGTTGACTTTTACTAAACGAGTGGGACCCAATAACGACTATATTTTCAATTTTAATTGGATTAAAATTCCTCCCAAACAAGCTATGAAGGAAGAAGAAGCTTACAAGGAGTACCTTGATTGAACCCCATCAAAGACTTACCATCAAGTCATTTTTATGCTCCTCCCTAATATATCATTGCAATGAACTTCATTTAAGCCTTCTAGACGTACTCTAAACTGCCTTAAAAGTTCAATGCTCAAAGAGAAAGATCAAATAACAGAAAAATTAATTCATCTGGCATTGACTCTCATCATAGAGTCTAATAAGCCAATGAACATCTAGCATCCCAACGCATTAATAGCACCCACCAACAGTTCCAGGTGTTGACAAATCAAGTGTGCTTCCGCCTTCCACACTCTAGGTAACCCTACCTAATCTCAATTTCTTCTCTCTTGCTTGAACAGAACCCAATCTCTAAATCATCTCATTCACTCTTTCCAGCAACTCCATATTATGTTGAGTTCTTAACAATCAATTTTAAATTTTGAAAGTTCCCACTACCTAATTGACACCATGTTCATCCCCATGCATTTAATGCTATATAGACACCATTCTATCAGCACATCACAGACAGCAGCTTTGGGTAAGCTCACCCAAACATGCTCAGAATCAACTCCCACGAGTCAACCGCATCAAGTCACAGATTGAGATTATCTCAATTATTCTCGTACAAATTTGAAGAAATCAATCTGTATCAAGCATAAATAATTAAGAGAATAAACAACTAGCGGAACATTTGGATATAAGGTGAATTTAGAAAGTGTGACTTCAAGGATAACAAAGGGTTGAGAATTGAGAAATCAATTCTAAAGATGAAGAGTGCTTGTTAATTGATTTTCTAGACCAAACTTATCGCCCCTACCAGTAAAGATTCATAGGCTGAGTTTTCAAGTGACTTGAGCTAGATCAATATGCCCTTCTCTTTGTATATGTAACATGTTTTGTATTTAATTTTATTTTAGATTAAACACGTTGACTTCAAAAGGAAGAAGATAACTCTAAAATTAACTTTTGGAGTTCCATTTAAGCAAAATAAAGTGAAAATTGGTCTTTCAGAACAAAATACAATATGTTTCATTATTCAAACATTTTATGATACATATGGTAAACTTTAAGCTATCCATGAATTTTGACTTTATTTTGCTTATGCAGGGGAGCTTAAATTATGCATACATTCTTGTATTATTCGAAACCGAATATTTCTTTTAAGTTTCTACGCTGTCAGTGATGACAATTGACAAATAAAACCTTCTAAGCCTTAGTCTATTTAATTTATTAATTAGATGAAGCAGACCTGACAACTTGATTTATGAATAGAGAATTTAGCCCTTGTCTGATGGCCATTACGTTGAAAAAATGGAGTTTTAACTAGTGGTATATATGGAGAATGTGCGATTAAAAAGTATGGAAAAGTATTGGGTTTACGTGCAAAATATTTTATTGTGTAAATGTGTGGTTGAAAATGAATATGATTAAAGAGTTTTGGTTTAAAGAGAGATAAATAGGGGATTAAATGTCAATAGAATTTTAATATGGAAATAATTAGAGAAAAAAATAAGGCCAACGTGAAAAGTAGGAATAATTAAATGAAGGGCCACCAGAATTCCCAACACCCATGAGCTTCTGAAAAAATTCAACGAATATTTTACCAAAGACATGCTGTGATTATCATTTCAGGTAAAATTACACTTGAACTCATAAAAAAAGGACCAAACTTGATCCTCTAGCTTTTAATGTTAGCTTTTAATGTCAAGTCAGCTTCATGGAAATACCAATCAAACTACCAATTCACTGAAATTTATTGTTGCCTTTCATGTAAAACAACCTCAGAAATAAGATGCTCAATCCTGAATCCACAACAAAAAAAGACTACAAAAGACAACTTTTTCATCATCAGTGCTACTCTCAAATTTCATTAATCTAATTAGAATTCTTAAAAACCATTCAGTACTATACAACCATCTATTTTCCAGGCATTACAATTAAACCCGCTTTCACTACTTAGACAAACAACCTTGGAGAAACAAATCTACATATTAAGCCCATCAACTTTTAAGAAATAATTCTGAGCTACATTAAATAACATAATTTTCAATATCTCCAAAAAAATGTAAAATTATTGTTGAAAATAGAGTGAACCAACTTCACAGATAATTTCACATAACGAATAGCCAGGGCGTAAATATGAGTATTTAAACATGCAGAGAAGTAAAAATATATAATAATTGAGAGAATAAATGAGAGAAGAACGGAACTATTAACCAAAACGACTGTATGGAACAACTGGGAATTAAGGTAACAATGCCAAAGCTCTACTAACAAACTTAACACATTGCACATCTAAAGAAGCTAAAAAGAATCAAAGACCTCTAACCCATAGAGTACACCCGCAAACATATCAGGCAGCGCTTCCTTTTTGCAATTGCTGAAGTAGATTTCTCTTATCTTCTGAAATGCATGCCGCGTCAGCAAGCTATCAGACCCAGCCTGGTGGCACCTTCCTGCCACCCGCTCCAAACCAAGCGAAGCAGCCACTCTTTCCAATCCCCCGTGCAACCCCGAACAGAATTTCATCAAATGCTTCACGTCATAAACCCGGTTTCCAAAAAACACTTTGAGCAAGTTAAGGAATTCTGTAAGCGTACTGGGGAGGGCCTTTCCCGTGAGGGCCTTAATGAGGTAGCCGAAGTCATAAGCGCTGTGGAAGGTAATGTAGGTAACGTTAGCGTTACACACAAGGCCAGATGACATCATGCATTCAGCAAACAGCGAGATGGACGAGCCGAACTGATAGGTAGTGTCAAAATCAATACCCTGGTTGCGGAGGAGGTCAATTGATTTAGGAGCGTGTTCGTCCCTCTCCAGCTTGAAATCTGAGAAATTGAACTCCCAGATGAAGCAGCGGTCAGGAAATCCGAGGTCAGGGAGGTTACCAGAGGCATCAGATAGAGTAATTCCGACCTGAATGAGCTTGAGGGCGTCAACATTGGACTTGAGGGTTTGGTAGTGGTCGACGGGGTTACAATAGTACTGTTGGTTGGGATTGTTGCGGAAGACAACGCCGGGGAACTCAGTGTCCATCGAGACGAAAGGATACCGATCAATTACGCGACCAATGATGGAGAATTCAAAGTCTAAATTTCTAGACCAGACTGAACGGATTTGAACTGGTTTTTTGGAATTATCGAACTTCATCGCCGCCGTTGAGCCCGGAGGAGTAACAGCCGGTGGCGGCCGAGACAATGGAATAGGTGGCGATGTTGACATAGATGAAGATGAAGAAGGTGGTGGTGGATCGTCATCGGATATGGAGGTCGAGGTGGCGATTGTCGCCATCGTGCAGGATCCAGATCGAGGTACGATTGTTGTCTATTTTTTATTTTTTTTTTCATCTCTTTGATTGGGATTGTTTTTGCATTTTATACTGCGGCCAAAGGACCTCGCTAGGGTCGGTGGGGTATTAATTGGGCATTTGGGTTTGGGTTTGGGTTTGGAAGTTTGGTGGAAAGGTTAGGGCACCATTATAAGCCCCAGTGGGTATAAATTTCACATATAGCTTATAAATAAGGGAAAAATTTATGGGTCAGGTGTTTACTTTCACGAAAT